CCAGGTATTTGAATATACAATTTTTTTTTAAATATTTATATAAGAGTTTTGACATATTTAGCATTTGCAATGGCCGTGGGAACATCTTGTCGGGTACTTAGCCTTCCAATAATGAATAGTGTACCTTTACGTTTGGAAAGTCCTTTCTTACTGGATCAGTATCATTCCAGTGTGTACTCTATCCACGCATTCAGCAAAGGTGTTAAAAAATACCAGAAGGAAATACACATTTTCATATTGAAACAAATGGATGTACACACTACAAAAAGGAATTACAAAGTGTATCTAAGTTGAGCCAAAGGCGCCCGAGCGAAGCTCTTTAATGGTAACACGGGCGTTTGTATACAAAGTTGCTTCCCCTTTCTACACCTCCCCTTTATTTATGTGTTGTCCGGAAGTAGACGTCCATTAGGGAAACAGGAAGTGTATCCTTGAACCAAAGACAATTGTGTTTCAACCCATACATGAACATCTTCATATTGAAAAGAATCCTCATGTTTTATTACTTGTTTATTTAGATAAAAAAATAATATACATTCTAAGTGAAAAAAAGTTTATCACATAAAATGTGATACTAACAGGCATGAAACTTCGTTCAGAGATTATCATACTATGACGTCACAAGCACGTCACAATCCATCGGCCTTTATCGGTTATTTCCGGAAGGATGAAAGATAACCAGAAAATTCTGGAACTGATATCCGTTGCATTTATCTCTTTGTCGGTGCTTCAAAACTATTTTTTCTTTATTTCAGTTTTTTTTCCACAGGCATAAAAAGTAACAATGCATATATTTTCTGAAGATGTTTTTTGTCATCAACCCGGTTCTGTTGATATTTCTACCGAGAGATATCTTCAAAAAAGAGATCATTTTAAATTTCATCAGCTTTTGATTTCCATTTGTTGAGAATATGAACGAAATAATTGACATTTTTGAAAGTCTGGATATAGCCTTTACATTATTTATGCATAATCGCTCATAAAAGAAGCAATGGAAAATGCATTTATGACGAAATTAACAATAATTTTCCAGACAACCAACTCAAGCGCAACGCCCTTTTTCAGCAACGTATTACTTTTTCGCAACGCGTGCCTATTTATAACTAGTTACAGACAGAAACTGTTATTTTATTTGGTATTATTACCTGTCAAACCTCGGTGATAGTTACAAAATTTGAAATTAAATCCGGTGTTTCAAGATGGAACAGTAATTGAGACTACATATTCATATCAAGACAATTTCAGGAACATCAAAGATACAATGTTTTCTTTTTTTAATTTCATTTTATTAACTAACATCTCTATACATTTACTAAGACTTGTCGTCAAAAATGTAATATGCACATTTTTCTATAGTAATTACCAAACAGTTTTCCCCCATCTTTTCTCAACCATTCTGTTTGTGCCCTGACGGAAGCACACAGGGGGTTAAATTCTTAATATGGGAGGAAGCTAGTGTATCCGAAGAAAACCCGCGTGGTCGGGCAGGTGACCGGGATTGAATCCGGCCATCTTGTTGAAGACGAACGCGCTATCCACTGCGCCACCGACCCATCATATACGTTACGCGGAAGAGCAAATATCTACTTAAGCTTTGACGGGAAGAAAATGACGTCATTGATGCAAAAATTATATTGTGAATACGTTTTTACTAATCATCAACTACATGTACCATATTGTTGTTTATTATGATAATTTAATGAAATATCAATTACGGCCCGGACAGCTTCGGCCAATGATATCGTGGCAAATTCGGCGAATGTTACACATAAAAAGTCGTAAAATTGGCGATAAAATCTGAAGTGGCATGCTTTATGACGTCATGGTTCCAATGGGGGCCGAGATTACCCGAATGCGTGTCCAGCCTAACCTCATGGCGGAACTCGTTCGGCCATCCGATCTTCCGACAGGATAGTTAAATAATGTTCAAAAACGGACGTGCTGCCATACTTCCTAGAACAGACTTTAATAATAAAAAAGGCCCAAACTTGCCCCGGTCTGCCTATTGTTATGTCGGTCTTAATATTATTAGAGCTTGTGTTTTATTGTTATTCCTCGACTAGCCGACTTTTAAATAAAGTTAATCTTATCTCATTCTAAAAGCAGTATTCTGAATTAGTAGATATCAGAGATAAACAAAAGCTACGCTCTTTTCAGCCATTATCTTTTCATATTAAAGGATGCAACTCAACTGAAGAAGACAATGTTTTGATACTAAATTTGATTTAAATCGCCCGTCTAGTGATATTTTACTTGCGCATGGCCCTCGAGTTCCTCCGATGTCGTTCTTTGGGATCCTTAAAGGACGTGCTAGTGCAATGTAAGTTTGTCATCGACATCCGGGTAACAGTCATTTCATGACTGGTCGATGATAAAGAAACCCAGATATGCCGCAAATCCTCTCCTCTAAGAATTATCGACGGTTAAATCATACCTGAGTGTGATTTTTGAAAATTTGAAAATTAAAAAGGATAAATGTCCTTGTATCAATTTGAAATCCATCTTAAATTGTTCAACACATCTTTGATATTTTTTGTTATGACCTGCTTTGCAGAATGCCACTCTGTGACACTAAATTAATTTGGTGAGGTCTAAAATATCTCGCCGGTAACTTGTTTAACAGAAAGTCTGCAACACTTAATCAACTTAGCCTTGGAATATCGCCGAACAGGTGTTCACTATTCATCGTAGGCGTTAATTATAAGTTGGGGGTGTACGCCAAGTGTAACGAATGTATAGACAGGAACGACCAGTGTGACTTATGTTTATTTTGGCGGGAGACAGCCATGATGGACAGACAGGTGTAAAAGGTGCTATATCAACTAGGTCCACACTAACAGAATGTAAATTTCTCTTTGTGTATTTACTTCTGATGAATACATCAAGATATTCGTATAAGACATCAGCAGTTATATTAATAAAACTCTGACATCAAATATGTAATATCATTTTCAAATAATTATAAGGTATCTTTTTTGAACAGAAACAACTTGGCAAAGAGCACATGGAAATGTGTGTCAATAAACATTTTTTTTAAACATTTACTTCGGATTGTTAGGTGCATATGTATGAGTAGTAGAAAGGTTACGTATCACAACCATAAGTGTTTATTTGTGACGTTGCGGTGACTACTACGATACGTACCTTGCCATCTTCATCAGACAAATACTGACTGATTCAGGTGATGGGGTACGTATCGTACTAGTCACCGAAACGCTTACTGGTAGAAATATATAACCTTATACTTCACATAAAACATGTTATTTAAAAACAGCAAACACACAAACAAACAAACAGCAGTACAAACATGACCTTTATAAAACAGAGGCAGTACCGGTTTCTCCTATATCTATCTATTCTGATCGGATTTGAGGCTCAAGTTGACCTTACATGCTTAGCATGTTTCAGGGATGTTGTATTAAATACATGTTTCTACTAGCCTTTACTTTCTCCTATTCAAAGTATATGCCATTTTTATTTTGAAAGAATATTGATTTTAAATAATTGTTAGCTGGTACGTAAGCTTAGCTACGTGTATCAAATATATGCGTGCTGTTTTTATAAATTATTGTTCGTTTTCCGAATAGAAACGAGACTCTTGAATTTATTCTGGGATGGGGTAAGCATACTATTCTACCGTATCAAAGAATAACATAGGGAATGTTAAGAACGAAATGTATTGCTTCTCATTGTAACCTACGTACCTGTACATCGAGTATATTACAAAAACAAAAACAAAACTTGATATTGTCATATGAAGATACAAACAAGGCTTGTTTGTAAACATTGGGTTAGGGAGTGCTTTTTCCTTAATTAACACAAGCTTAATTTCATTGGACGAGGATATAACAATTTATTAAACAATAGGGAGCGAACCGTAGGATTGTTCAGCGTAATTTCCATTACAAAGAAAACAGCTTCATCAATCTGTAAACAAGCAACGGCAGAGTAGAATATCTTAGTGTAAACAGTCGCTGATTAATTTGCTGTTTTATGATACTTCATATTGCCGAAACGGACGCAATGACTATTCAAACAGGTGCAGTAACTCTTGTTAGTTTGATGACAAAGTGAGAAAAAAGTTAAATAAAATTTATCAGCTGTTAATGTCCTTGGGTTATTGGGAAGTTTTTCTCATCAATTAAACAGCTCATGTCATCAAATAATTAATGAAACAGTACGATCCGTATTTCCGGTATTACCACACAGTCATAAGGGTTTAAATAAATCTGCTTATATCGTGCAGGCTACGGACAGTTGAGACTGACTACTTAGATACAACTTGCCCTAGTGAGGGGAAAAAAAGAGAATATATGTTTTGTGGGGGTTGTTAGCAAAGGTGTTAGTCTGGACAATAACTTATCACACCTTTGTGAACGGGTGACCTAGGGTTAATTCCCCTGTCTCTGCCCCGCTAGGCACACGTCAATCCGGGACTCTCACCGTCTATATAGCGTGCTCTTTCTGATGGAGAGGCAGACCAACAGTAGACCCTTAGCTACTAACTTTTACCTGTGAGAGGCCCTCACTGGGGAAATTACCTGTTCTGTTATCTTTTCCTATATGTTTGAAATTCTAAATGCTATAATGTAATCTTAATTTCTTTTTAAAACGTGAATATACTGGTACGTATATAGATACTCGGTTTTAATAATACGTTAATTCATTATTTTGTCTAATTTATTCTTTATTATAAGTTTGTTCTAAACCTGATTTACTGCATTCATTTCATATCCATTGCATTTTTTAAATTAATTCTATATTACTAATCATAACAAATTACTTGTACGAATTACAATTTATATTTGGTTATAGGTAAACTAATTGTTCAGAGTAATTCCGATCGAATCGTCTGTGAATGACAAATCTTCAGCTATACACCTGTCATTGGAGAGTCCCTAAGTGTTCCCAGCGCTCGTCTCCATACATAGCGTTTTGTCATTCTATCGTTGCCCATAGTACATAGCCTATATACATCTCTGTCTACTATATTACGGGACGCAGTGTACGGCCAACGGACCAGCTGACCAGTCGTGTTTCACTGTCGCAAGGATCATAAAGACCTTCGGACAGGAACTATGACCAACTGACCACCACTTTAAGGGAACTACCGGGTACTGGCCACCAATTTTTGAAATTTGAACTGTGACTTTTTTTATTTAAAGTAAGGATATATATAAAGAAAAGAAAACAACGTGTGTACCTGGTAAGAGCACTATCAGCAGGACAGGGATGTATGAGAAAGACTAGCAGAAAAAAATCCAAATTATATAACAGTCAGCTAAAAAGAACGGTCCGAACAAATGAATGGAGTGTTTGAAAAGTGCCAAATGCAACCAGCACATCCTGAACTTGACACCATAAACACTAATATCGGCTAAAGGTTTACAAAGGAGGTAGCTGATCATCCAAACTAAATCTCGTTTCTTCAGATAAAACATCGGAAGATATAAATATGACACGCGTAGTTGCTCTATCATTGACTTTGTCAGTATTTCTACAGCTCCTGGGATATTCAAGGACATCCGGAACTAGGGGAAGTAAACAGGGAGGTGAGTTCTTCGAGGAAGTGCATTTTGATACATTTATTTCATTTAGATCATTTGTACTATTCCATATTGGCATTCATAACATTCTTTTGATATTGTAATGCTTATACAATGTTTTCTGCAAATTTTTAATCTTTTAATTTTCTTATCGATATATATCAGTGTGCCTTATTGTGTTTTAATTATTAATTCTGGGTATTATTGGAAGGTTAACACGGTGTTGGTAGCTTTTTAATGTATATGTTATTCACTGACAATTCTATAGTAAATAAACACAAAAAAAGAATTATATAGCCTATTTAATATACATATTGATATTCACTGACACTTACATAGTATATCTTAACGTCATCAAGGTCATTGTGACGATAACAAAATGTTAAAGCAATGTAACATATTTCCTTAAACAGAATACTGTAATGGGTATAGATTGCTGGACAAAATCACTTTCATTTAGAATCGATCACATGTTTATCAATACATTATTGATAACCGTCCGAATACAGTATACTATTCCAGCAAACTCTTATGCACGTATGTGTGCTAGATGATGCACTGACCTATCTCTTCATAGAAATGTCAGTCATTTTGATGAAAACAAAGGGCCGTTTTAGCTAGCTCCTAGTCTACACAGACGCAATTCTTTCACACTTCCCCCTATATGTTTTCTATGTACAAAGGTATATATTTAACACACTAGAACAATTATCATATCAAGAACACGATTATCCCAAGCTGACAAACGTATGTTTATTCATTCCAATTAATTCTCAAGATGTTATCTCAGATGAGATAATACCACAAACTTTCCATACAGTGGTTAAACCTTATTTCGAATTCTTTTGCATTGCCATAATATTTCATAGAATGGTAATTTTGTGTGTGTGAGGGTCCTATTGCAATGCAAATAAATGTCTATTATAGAGGTATATTTCCTGTTTTGATACATAATCCACATTGCAGGTATGGTGTCTTACACACATATTAGTTAGTAAGACATGCACCTTTATATCGAGGTCATTAGCGTTGTCGTATTAACTGTTTACTGACAATTAATATACATACATATATACACGAACGCATGCAATTAACATGTGCTGGTGTGTTTCGTGTAACAACAATGTACATAATGATGTGTTATATGTACATTCCACAGACACACTTATAGGTAGACATATACGTCTGTCTATAAGGGGACTGTATCAGATCAACGTAAGGCAAACCTATACAATTTGGTAATAGATATAATATGTCAAAATGTATTGCATTCACCATACAACTAATCGGTCTTTCCGGGACTCCTCAATCATTCTAGGAACCCAAAAAACATGTAAATCCAAATTAGTCAAATCTTTTGTAGAAACAGAAGGGGAGGTACGTAAAAACCCCGAGTGTTATGGGTTTTAAAATGTAGAGATTAGCTGGTGAATTTCAAACTTAATATTTGGTAGATTTTGCAAATTAAAAACCATACCACTACCCTTAATAGATATATATGCCTCATAAGGTTACGGTAAACCTTGGGGACTAAGGAATTCAACCAGCAGAGTCTAGATTTCATATCACAAAGAAACACCAACCCTAACATTGTCTTAACCTACACCAATCTCTGTATAATAAGTTCAGTTCAGTAACCTTCCCTAGGGTCATGACTGAAACGTTTTTTTAAGTCTTTATGATGCCCTTCCTTTTGTTTTGATGCACCCTAACGTTGCTGACGGCTTTTCTTATGGAGTTTGCGCTGTTTTTTTTTTTTTGTCCTGTTGTGTGTTGATCAAGTGGTTTTATATTTATTCTATTTCTTTTTGAGCATACACATCTATATGGAACACGTTATAGTGTATAATAAGTATTAGCATGCATGGTTTTGACGTGTGTAATGTGATTATCATTTATAAAGCTAAAACCCTATTAATTTGTTGACCTCAGCCTTGTATGCTCTTTATTGGCTGATTTTTTTCATTATTTTGCGAACAGAGGTGATATAGTATTGTTTGTCCGGCCTACATAAGTGATATACTATAATATAATTTCATTGTTTTCTACACAATGATTACTTTATCATAGGTTGTGTGCTATAAGTGACGTACGTATGTTTTCATTGTTTGATGTGTGCACTGACTTTCACTCTTTTTTTTATCGACTATTGAAACATGAATAATACATATCTTCAATGTCTAGTACATATGATTATTTCTATTTTATCTTGTTAGATGCGTCCCGTTAATCATTTATTAGTTAAGCCAGGGCTTTACCTGATATTGTTCTACCTAAATTCATAGAAGTTTTTGCCAATTATCATGATTATCGGGACAGTTTCGACGCATATGTTGGTATCTACTATGGTTTCTTTTCGTTTGTTTTTCTGATATAGAAAAATTCGTGTTCTTTTATATTTACCGTCAAATCAGTTTTTCGACCAAGCAAAGATCTTCTCTTAAATCTCCGGTTGTAACCTAGAAAGCTTCAAAACCTGTATGAAACAGTAAATATCATCAACTTATGCTCTATGTGTTAAGTATTGGATTTTGTCTTAAGAGTAACTGTTTCCTAGATACCTACATCAGTGTTACCGGATACCTTTTGGGGCAACATTTCTCCATTTTCTTATCGAGCAAAAATAAATATACTATTAAAATTTCCCAGACCAGTCATAAAACACCTGTATATTGACAGTAATGAGAGTACTAATTTGTATGCGTCAGTTATCATAGGCATACATGAATATCACATAATTACTAGAATATATGAATTGGACATCAAATGCAGCTGATATATTCAATAAATAAAGAAGTTTATGGCAGATTATCGACTCATTTGACGCAATAACTTACTTCTACATGAACCTGTACTTGGGGAGGTGAGAGGGGGGATGTCAAACTGCCAGTCTCTTTTTATTAGTTCACTAACGAGCGAACCCCAGGAGAACCATGACCTCATTGACCGGCCGTGGACGATGCCTTATTCATATTGGATACTGAACGTATAGTACGATATTTTGATATGGATTGCAGGTGTTCAATTTTTCAGAGATTAAGTCATTGACTTTTTCACTACTGTTAGGCTTATTTTTTATGTGCTATATCTGCTCGGAATGGGATGGCAACAAAAAACATTAGTGAACCCTTAAAGGCACAACACTAACAATATTAATCGGTCCTTTCTCGTGTCTTTAGCTGACGGATTGGTCGAGTGGTTAACAGTCCGGTCTTCCAAGCAGGCGGCCGGGGTTCGATCCCCGAAGTCTCCGTACGCATGGAATATTCAGAGAAAGTTTTTTTCTCCTGCACACACAACTCCAACAAGACAGGTCGAGTATAAATTGTCTGGGGTGGGTGTTGCGGTATTTGTGCTGTAGCATTCAAGTGAGGTGACACTATAAATGATACCGTTGGAAGCACGGTCCCACTACAAACAGAACACATACCATCTCCAGCACACACACAGGCATACACACATAGGGAGATATTAGCCAGGTGGCATAAGACTAGTAGTTAGCGCCTGATAATGCAGCTTTTGCGAATTCCACATTACTGTATTGATTAATATATATGCTAATCGTATTGACTGTATAAAATTGTATATCTATGTGCTGTAAAGCGCGTTAGAGTGGCTTATGTTAGCTGTATAGGGCGCTATGTCAAATGTTGTATATTTATATATTTATTTAGTTCCCATGTGTTATAACTGTGTTGGCGCCGTGCTATTTTGATTATTAATGATGTTTTCTACGTGTCTACTAAGTTGACTGGATTTAGTGTTAAAGATGTAGTTTCCATACAGTGGCTGTTATATAGTCTTAAAAGGATTTCTTTTCAGAAATATGTGTAAAAGTTGTCCTCTCCTACCATTATGATATAAAACAACCAATGTATTTATACCCTTCAGTTCATTGAAAGACGAACAGAAAAATTGCATCATAGTGTGTAGCAAAATTTTTGTTTGGGATGGTGAAAGCATTCACGAAATGATAAAAAATATTATTTATTGTTGATTCGAAAATACTGCACCCTACTGAATTAATTAAGGAAAATTAGCCACGAGTTGCTAGCGCGGTTCTACGGTCGGTTTGTCCTTGTGTTGACACGTTATTGCTTGTTGTACTTATCCATTTTCCTGTCATATATCTGACATTCATATTTTCTATGATAGTCATATGACAGAAGAAACTTGCATAATGACATAACGAAACGAAGTTTCTCAAAACAAAATGTAAGGCATGTTAATTTTACAGTGCACGTTATACTGCAAACCAAACTAAGGAAGTAGACAACATGATACATCATGTCATCAAATATAGATTCATTGTTATCAATTATACCTTTCTGAGTCATTTCTATTTTAACGTTCTTAGATAATTTATAGATACAGCTTATATATCAACAAATTCCGTGATTAATATTAAAACATGAGTAACCATGAACATATCGCCAAAGTCTTGTCTAATAACATTTTTAACAATACACTTTAAGACGGGGAATATCTATTTTGGTTCAAAATCATTTAGCCGTTTTACTGTGTGGTAGCATGTACTAAACATAAAAAGCCAAACCACAACACAACACTCTGCCATGATTTAACCAAAGGAGCATGTATGATAATAGTTATAAAAGAAGCCTATAAACAACATCAGTCAAGGATTCGTCAGTGTTCACCAAAAGAGAATCTATGGTTTAAGATTTAAAAAAACACATGTATAAATTCAACAAAAGGCAATTCAGTCTTTGCATATTGCAGAGTTATCTTCTCTTGGGAGCAGGTATTGATTGTTACGTCACTTGTTTGTGAGAATAACGTCATCAATTTTTGAGAAAATGACGTAATTTTCTCACACAAACCAATGACGTAACAATCAATACCTGCTCCCAAGAGAAGATAACTCTGCAATAGGCAAAGACGGAATAGGTGCCTTTTATTAGACTTTTAATGTTGCCAATTTACAATGAAATAATTATCCCGTCAGCACATCGCATAACAACACCATACTTGGAGTCATCAGTGAT